TATATATATATGTGTGTGTGCTTACAGTATGGGAGTCAACTCAGCCTGCTGACTCCACAGAATAATTGAAAGGGAGCCACAATAGATTTTGCAAGTACTTTTTTTTTAACGATTCAACCACTGCCTGGCAAAGATGAGGTTGCAACCTAACCTCTGAACATGAGAGTTAACATTGATTTTTTGCCATCATCAGACTGCCAGGAAACTTGGCAAGAGAGAAAAGCATGCTGGGTCAGTTACAGTGTAATGGAAAGAATTCCCTCAGTAGAAAGAAAAACAGAGTTGAACTAAATGTAAGACGGTGATCTGACTGATGACTGTTGAGTGCTGAGTTTATCATAATGGGTATAGAAAAAGAAGAAGAAGTAAACATTTGCTGTTTATCAAAATGTAACCATCATACTAAATTTTGGCAAATGACAATGAGTGAATTGCAACCATAACAAGTCAGATATCTCTTTATAAATTATAGCAAGTTACACTTTATCTCTTTCCTCTGATCTACACATGCAACAGAATGAGATGTTAGAATTCTGAAGAAGTAGGAGCACAGTGCAAAGTGCAGGGGCATATATCACTTAAAAAAATCTGCTGTATGAGGGGGCATTGTAAAGTAATATCACACAGAAGACTCAGGGACTCAGCTTCAGGCCTTTGCAGACTGACAGAAATAGTCCAAATTGAGTCCACTTTAACTGCCCTGACTCAGTGCTAGGGAATCATGGGAACTGTAGTTTATTGTGGCATGAGAGCTCTCTGACAGAGGAGGCTCAATGTCTCAGAAAAAAAATACAATTCCCATGATTCCCTAGCACTGAGCCAGGGCAGTTAAAGTGGACTCAATTTGCACTATTTCTAGCAGTCTGCAAAGGCCCTTCCTTGGCCAAGTCGTTGTTGTTGTTGCTGTTGTTATGTGCCTTCAAATTGTTTCCAACTTATGGTGACCCTAAGGCAAACCTATAATGGGGTTTTCTTGGCAAGTTTCTTCAGAGGGGATTTGCCATTGCCATCCTCTGAGGCTGAGAGGGTGTGACTTGCTCAAGTACATACAGTAGGTTTACATGGCCAAGCTGGGATTCATACCCTGGTCTCCAGAGTCACAGTCCAAAGTTCAAACCACTACACCATTCTGGCTCTCATTGCACACTTCCTTTTTTCCTACAGCCTTCCACCTTATCAAGGAATATTATCTTTTCTTATCAGTCCTGTTGTCTCACTTTATTTGCAAACGACGACAGCCTCAGTTTAATCATTTCATTTTTCCAGGCTTGATTTGGTCTAGGAACTATTTAACTGTCTTTTGAACTGGCCATGGTATCCATAGAACTCTCTTCCAGCACCACATTTCAAATTAATTGATTTTCTTCCTATCATCTCGAGTGTGTCCAGGTGGGGGTGGGGGGGCCAAAATGGTAAAAGTTCTAGAAACCATACCACACGAGGAGCAGCTTAGGGAACTGGCTTAGGGAGGTTAAGGGGTGACATGCTTAAATATTTGAAGGGATATCAGATTGAGGATGAAGCAAGCTTGTTTTCTGCTGCTACAGAGACTGGGACATGGAGTAATGGATTCAAACTACAGGAAAAGAGATTCTAACTAAACACTAGGAAGGAATTCCTGATAATAAATGCAGATTGACAGTAGAATATGCTGCCTTGGAGTGTAGTGGAGTCTCCTTTTTTTGGAAGTTTTAAAACAGAGCTGGATGTTTTTTGTGGGTTTTTTGGGCTGTGTGGCCATGTTCTAGAAGAGTTTCTTTCTTCTAGAACATGGCCACACAGCCCAAAAAATCCACAAAAAACTATGGATGCCGGCCATGAAAGCGTACGACTTCACACAGTCTGGATGGTCATCTATCAGCAATACTTTGACTCTGTATTCCTGCATGGTGGGATTTGGACTGGATAGCCCTTGTGGGCTCTTCCAACTCTCAGTATCTATGATCTTTCATCTCTGCTCACCTTTCATAACCATATATAGAATACATAGAAACATTGTGCTGGTCTATGACTGTAATAATGATGAACTGAACATAGAACCATTCATACAGATCAGAAATACTATGATATGGATAATCCAGACTTCGGTATTCAATGATATACTTTTACAATTTAAGATGTTATCTCCTTCCTTTATAGCTCCACATATGTCCTATGTCTTCTTCTGATTTCTTGACAACAGTGTCTATTTTGATTTGTAACTGAAAAATGTATAGAAAACCTTTCACTATTTTGATATCTATCATCCACTTTAAAAGTTATGTACATCATTTGTTGTCATTATTTTTGTTTTCTTAATGTTCCATCAGGCCTAGACTAGACCTAGCCTAGACTTAGAAAGAGAGCCCTCCCTCCAAACCATCTGCCACAGTCCAGGTCTCAGAGCGAGAGAAGAACCACTGAACTTATTCCCTTTCCCCACTGCCATTCCCTTCTACTTTTATGTCATGTCTTTTTAGATTGTAAGCCTGAGGGCAGGGAAATGTCTAATAAATCATTTATAAACTGCTCTGAGAGCCTTTGTGGCTAAAGAGTGGGATATAAATACAATAAATTAATTAATAAATTAATTAATGTTCAACTGTTACATTTGCACTATCTTCCTTGAATTTCCTCAATAGTCATCCCAAGTTTCAAGACAATACTCATTCCAACAAACAAACATGCCACCATATTAAAAGGAACTTAAAACACAATAAAATGTTGTTTTTAAAGTGTTCACTACAGAGGGTAGCTTTCAGAGTTCAGGAACTACATTCTGATAACATGAAAACAGGAGGTGAACTCATTTTTCAAAACAATGTGGTTTCCTCTTCTATTGAAAAAAGGCCCAGGGGCAAAAATAACACAGAATGACCAATCATGCCACCATAGGAATCAGGTGCACTATTGGCTGTTCCTTCCTCTCAACATCACAATGGGTTGTAGTGGGGAGGGGGCAGGAACAACAGAAACACTCTGGGAGGGCTTCATGCAGCTCATGTACTTCAGAGATCTCTGCCATCTAGTTGAAAAGTCCTATGGTGGCCATGGTGGCCAGCTCCTTTTAGGGCCTAAACCTTGAGACTCTGGAATCTAAGGCTGAGTATTCATAAGGCAAGGAGAAGCACAGGACATTTGGATGCTGAAGAAGAAAACTCAACCCTTGATTGTGTGCAGTGACTCAGGCATATGATGTGATGGACATGAAAGTTAATCAAACAGCAAAGATGTCTTGTTGCTTTTGTATACCTATTCTAACATTTTACTTTTTCATAGAATCATAGAATATAATTGGAACAGACTACAAAGGCTTTACTGAAATCAAGATATGCAACATCCACTGCCTTCCTTCCATCTACCAAACTTGTAACAAGTTGGTAATTTTATAAATAAATAAATAAATAAATAAATAAAGTTATTCTGGCATGACTTGTTTTTGAGAAACCCATATTGACTGTTAGGGATCATGCCATTCCTTTCTAAGTCCTTACAGACCATGTTCAGTGTGAAGTTGAAGGCTTTCATGGCCAGCATCCATAGGTTTTTGTGGGTTTTTCGGGCTGTGAGACTGCTCAAGAAGAATGTATTCCTGACGTTTTGCCTGCATCTGTGGCTGGCATCTTTAGCCACAGATGCAGGTGAATCATCAGGAATACATTCTTCTAGAACATGGCCTCACAGCCTGAAAAACCCACAAAAATCCTTACACTCTGTCTGTTTCATAATCTGTTCTAGGATCTTTCATGTTATTGATGTAAGGTTGAATAGGTGGTACATGTTTAGGTCCTCTCCTCCCACACACACATTTTTTGAAAATGAGAACAATATTTGCCCTCCTCTTCTTCTCCAAGGGTTCTCAAAAAGTATTGCGAGTGGTTCTGAGACTACCGTGTTTCCCCGAAAATGATATACCCATAAAATAAGCAATCGCAGGATTCCTAAGCATTTGCGCAATATAAGCCATACCCTGAAATAAGACATAGGGTCGATATAGACAGGGTGGCTTTTCCCACCCCTGGGAGCGGCAGATCAGGGCTTAAAGGACCATGGCCCCAATCCTTCTCTTTGCTGCCTCCAAAAGAGCGGCTTAAAGGGCCGCTCCTTTTGGGGGTGGCAAAGAGCCGGCCTTTGAGCCACAGCTGTGGATCTTTTCTGGGCTACCCATGGGAGCAGCTCATCCACCAGTCCCAGGGGCAGCCCAGAAAAGAGCAGTGGCTGCAGCTCAAAGGGTTGTGGCCACAATCCTCATCTTTGCCACCCCCAAAAGGAGTGGCCCTTTGAGCCGTTCTTTTGAGGGTCTTTGAGGGGTGCTGCTTCTTTTGGGGGTGGCAAAGAGCTGGCCTTTGAGCCGCAGCTGTGGCTCAAAGGGTTGCATCCATGATCTCTGTCTTTGCTGTCGCCCAAAGGAGCAGCCCTTTGAGCTGCTCCATTCGGGAGTGGCAAAGATGAGGATTGTGGCCGCAACCTTTTGAGCAGCAGGCACGGCTCTTTTCTGGGTTGCCCCTGAGAGCGGTGGATCTGCTGCTCCCATGGATAGCCCAGGAAAGAGCCATGGCTGTGGCTCAAAGACCAGCTCAAAGAGGGGTGGCAAAGAGCCAGCTTTTGAGCCACGGTGGTGGCTCTTTTGCACCCCTTTGGCACAGTGTATCACTGCTCCAAGAGGGCACCCTAATGTTGTGCAGTGTGTGGACAGGTGCACGGCATCAGGGTGGAGTCGGGACAAATAAGACATCCCCTGAAAATAAGCCATAGTGCGTCTTCTTGAAGCCAAATAAATACAAGACAGTGTCTTATTTTCGGAGAAACACGGTACTTCTGCTAGTTCTAATAATACCCTTGGATGAAGTTCATTAACCAGGTATTCCTGTACTACCTCTTCACCTATTCTGTGCTGCATTTCCCCTACTGCATCATCTGCTTCATATTTCCAGGCTGAGCACCATTTTCGTTTTGGAGGAAGATCGAGGAGATGTTCAGTACTTCTGTACTTATATCATCTTGTACCCAAGATGAAACATGTATCTACTTGTAGCACATGATATTAGTGATTTTATTTTGATTTTACTACAGAATACTAAGCTTCACTTGCCTTGTAGACAATTTCATTGTCTTGAAGGTGGTGGAGCCAACATGGGGATCAGCTGTTTTAGAGCTGATTCTAATGAACAGTGGTGATCTAGTTCATCTAGTGGACTAGGATCCTTAGGTGGGAGTGTTTGCAAAGCACGTCAGAAATTTGTTGGACCTTATACTCTTGGCACAGTTTGACTTTCAACAAATATCAGGATACTTGAAATCTCCCATTACTATTACATCTGTCCTTTTTGAATCTGTGATCATCTGTTCCAGGAAGGCATCATCCATGTTGTCAGTGTAGCTTGGTACCCTGGTAGTCCCCCAGCTTTTTCCTCTTATGGAGGTACTGAGAAAAAGGCTAAATTTTAGGTAATTTTCTGAAGTCTAGCCCACCTCTTAGCCTTCCAACTAGGGTATCTATCACAAAACAATCATTTATACCATGAGCCACAAGCAGATATATGTTTCGTCTTGGATACAAGATGATATAGATACAAGATATAGGTACCCTTTGATAAAGGTTCAAGAAAAGCATGCCCCCATGTAAATGAACCATGGGGATGGAACTCCAAAGCATCCTGAGTTTAGAGGGGATAATTTCAGCCTCTGAGTAGGTGGACCTCTAAAGCACTTAGCTACTGAAGAGACAGTTAAATTTAATGAAACATAATGTTAGGCTTCCCTTCCCTCAAATGCTTTAATACACTGGACCTATACTGAATGCTCTAAAATGAGTCATCATGTGCTACAATGACTCAGTGGGCAGATTTCCATTCACTGAAGCCTGAGCCAAGATATCCACAGTCAATCCCTGCTGGAACCCTGTGGCTGACTAAATCTACAGGTCCCCTGGCCTGTTCCTGTAACATTTACAAAAATAAATTACAAGAATAGGTCCTGCTGGCATGAATCACATATTTCATTTCTGCCATCTTTATGTAATCATTCCAGTTCAATACCACTCTAGTCAGCCCCATGAAGAGATAGGGAACAAAATTATCATCATTGTCATTTAAGGCCATAGACTGGTTAAGATGGTGGGTTACTAAACAAGGATAGAGAGAACACAGAAGTGT